TTGAGGCAGAGATTCTCTGCAGCTGAGAAGCAGCACACAGGGAAGGTCATGCACAAAATCAAATGTGAAACACTGACTACACTTAAAAATACACATTAAAAATGTGTATTACATGAAGACGGGTGGTTTTGCATTCGGAAGGATTTATTTCTGAGCTTAAATAACTTATTTATTTGACTTAAATGTACATAATTTCAGCTGCTTCTGACATATGTAATGTTATCTGACTCATAAGTGAAAAATACCTTTTTGTATCAATGAAATGTCAAAATTATATTTGTATATTTTACCCCTCCTGCCTGTTTTGAGCCTCTGACAAGTTGACACATGGTCCCAAAATTTCCTTTCCCTTCATGTTTTTGTCTGGACCCCCTGTTTGATTGGGAACATCCAGCTAAGCCAGGCAAACTTCAGAATACAAAATTCACATCAAGGGTTAAGCATCAATATCTTTAGTATTCTTTTTATTTTACTCTGCCAAATACCAAGCAGTGGTAGAATTGTAAATCAAGGTATCTGTTACCTGAAAAGAGTTGTTGAAGGCAGACCAGTTTTCATGGACTTTTCCCTCCTGCTTGATACTTACACACTCTGCTGCTACACCAGAAAAGCAGCAGGCCATGGGGTAACTTAGGTTTTTATCTTTTGGACAGAACACAGCTTGAAAACATGAAATGTTAAATTTTTTGCCAAAACTGAAATGAAATCTGGCTAAATTGTATTGCAGAAATTTCCAGGAAATCTGAGTATGAAACACTTAAATAAACAGGCTGAAGAAAAGATAAAAGCAGAGAATCTGTCTAGTTTCAATGGTGGATGAGCATAAACTGAGCTGGCAGAGTAGAGTAACTGCCACAGGATTTTTTTTTGTCATTTTAATCACTGAAAATATCCCCAGATGTGAGGCAGAGACTGGGGAAAAGGCCACACTCTCCAGAAATCAAAGCTCCAAGCAGTACGTGTGCTCCTCGTCGAGAACCAGTCTCAGATGTGCACAGCAGGCTGGGAATCCCCAAACAAGACGTGAAAGGCCTCTACTCTGACACCAGAGAGAAGAAATCAGGTTAGTTGTCTGCAGAAAATGTTCTGCTGCACTTCCTTTGGTTTTGGAGTCCAAGAGAAATCCCAGCAGACAGCCATGAAGGGGAGCAGTTGAATGAAATTCAGGATAAATTAGCAAATGTTTGTTCAGAGCTTTGAAATCTTAAATACATGTAGGGAGGAGCCTGGGGGGCTTGGGAGCAGTATTTTTATGGAGGTGGGGTGAAGATCAAGGACTGCTTTCAAACTGTGGGCACCAAAAGAAGTGTCAGGAATGCAGGGGCACTGGAAGTGTGAATTAAACATCCTCTGCAAATGGGGAACAATGAACAAGGCTGCCCTGAGCCTCCTGCAGTTCAATTTCAATTACTCTTCAAAGCATAATCAGTTCCATGCCAAATATTGAGGTGGGAGGAGTAGGAAGGGTTGAAGAGTTTGAAGAGTTTGTGAGTTTAAGAATTGGTTCCTTGACTTCTTCCTCTCAGTCCTGTCTGTTTTGTTCTTTTTTAAATGTTTGTTTTCATCTGCTTAGGTAATTTATGGACCAGATTGGGGTCTGCTCCGAAGACACAGGAAAAGACTCCAGAGAAAGCTGAAAACTCTGTGGCATCTCCAGAGGAAGATGACTCTGAGCTGCAGAGGGTTTGGGGTGCTCTCATTAAGGAAAAAGAACAGTCCAGGCAAAAAAAGAGTCGCTTGGATCATTTACCCTCCCTACAAATCGAGATCAGCCGGGAAAGCAGCTCTGGCTCAGACTCTGAATCATGATGGGTTCACAGCCTGACCCTCCAGGTGCTGACTGCAGCCTGGCAGGATCTCCCTTGCCCAAAAGCTGGACACTGGCAAAGACTCTGCAGTGAAGGTTCCAGAAGTGTCTCTGTTCCTTTTCTACAACAAGAGAGGCATAAACCACTTGAAACCTAAAGCGAAGACGTTTGTCTGGATTCTGTGGCTGGCCCTGTGCTCTGTGGGGCATTGTCATCTCTGTTTATGACAGCAAACCTGTAGTGAATTGTAGCAAAACATTTTCTCCCCCGAGCTTTGAACTTACAAGATGAGGCAGAAATGCTCTGTATTTTTAAGGAGACCTTTTCTGTTCTTGATGTTTTCATCATGGAGGCTTTTAACAAAATGTTTTACACACTTCATCCAAAGAACAGGGCATTTATTTCATGACCCAGATCACTGCCTTGCCCTTCTGGCTCTTACCAGCACTTTTCCTTTCCTCTTGAAGTAATAACAGTAACGCTTCCTGGGTGGGCAGCCAGCAAGGATAAAGCATGAAGGGATGGATTATCACACTCCCTTCCTCCAACACACTGAATGTAAATCCAAGTTACACATTTTATTACAGTTAAATTCCATGTAGGTATCCCAGTGGCACCCCAGAATCCAAGGAATCCTGTTCATTTCTTTTGGTGGTGCCACATTCTGCTGTAGCAGGGATTAAGATGTTCAGGACTGCAAAGTTGGATGTTTGACAATTGTGTAAACCCCTGAGGGTTTGGGGGTTGGTTTTTTTTTGGTGTTGTTCCACAAGGAGAGATTATATTCCTGTCATTCCACCTGGATTATGTCCTGAAGCTATCCAACAGCTGGAAAGCATTTTTATATTTGTGAGAGTCTTCCCATTGGCCACGCTGAAAGCTCTAGTGGTGTTCTCCTCTGTGCTGTTCTGTCTGTGTAGAAGTGAAAGAGAAAAGGAAAACTTTAGGATCACTGTCTCCTGTCAATATTTTGGATGTTCTTCCTGTATATTACATGTGGATGTGGACATGGGTGACTTGTTCCATTCAGCTTTTTTACCTGCACATTTTCACCCCTCCCTGGGTAGGACAAGGGTTTGATCAGTGTGCAGTTGCTATTTTTTTTTTCATGTTGCCAGTAATTCTGAGTGAGGAATAATGCAGCACATCACATTCAGGTAAACAGGTAGCAAAACCATTTTAACAGTCTGAAATCTGTTAAATCTGTTTGCATTGTCCCTGTTCCTTGGTTCTGTCAGTCCAAAATACCTGTCAACTTCTCTTCCCAGTTCTGCTTTTTAACAAGCAAATTTTTCGTGTTTGGTTTTTTTTTTTTTTTTGCCCCCCTATTTTTGTACCAAGTTGAAGTAGGTTTGAGATTTCAGCAAGGAATCTACAAAATAAACTTTTCTCATGCTTTTTGATGTGTGAGGATAGCAGCATGTCAAATGAAAGGTCAAATGACAGGCACAGTGACTGAAGGGCAATCTGGGGGCTGACCAGGCTTCAAGCCTTACTCTTTCCTTGTTTTGTGACACTCATCCTTGATTTTATATTTAATTATTGAATATATAAATGTCTCATAAAAGTAATGTTGAGAGAAACGCCTGCAATGTCTGATCACTGTAATAACTCATTTTAAACGTGTGCTTTCACTGATAATCCTTTCCCAGAGAATCACTCCCATCTCTCCAGATCGTGATAAAATTTATTTCACTGGTGTCTTTTTGCCAGTAAACCTTTGTGTTGTGTCACTGCTTTGAATCCATTGGGACCTTTCTTTTTCCTGAAAGGAATCAACACCTCATGCACCAAAGCTGAATTATTGGGAGCCCTTGTGTGGTATTTCCATGTCAATATTCTGAATTTAAACCAGGTGAAGGATAAACTGATGAGAATAGGAATAGAGGATCTCTGGCTGATATAAAAGATGTGTGAAATCAAGCACAGTCCTGTGACCCTTAATTCTGCTTCTGCCTTCCAGGTTGTCAGAAATACGCCTTAAAAATTCCCCCATGCTGGTCAGGACTGTGGTTTTATGGTTTTGGGGTGGGTTTATGTGTGATATTGAGCACACAGGAGCTTAGGTGCAAGAAAAAATGAGGTTTATTGTTTAGAGAGGGTTTTGTAATTGAGTGTGCCTGGTTTTGCTTTTTTACAATGTCCAGAGAAGCCTTGGAGAGTGCTGGTATCAGGAATTCTTTCCAGTTTTGGGCTTCCTTAGTTACCCGAGCCAGAAGTGCTGGGATTTGTTAATTAAAAATGAACTCTAAATTTTAAGTCAATGCTTTTTCCTCAATGTTTTAACTTCCATCCATTTGATCAAGAGATTGCAAAGAGAATTTTGTTCCAAGTTCCCTTCTCTTTGTGTTCAGCTGTTCAATCCTTAGCTAATGTGATTTTTCACTCACCTCCCAGCTATCATCACTTTCAAGAATTTGATGCAGGAATTGATGTTTGATAGGGAGACAGGACCTGTGTATTTCACTAAAATGTGTTTGTGTTGAAAAAGGCAAAAAAGGAGAATGTTGGCTTTGGCTCTTGCTGGAGGATCTGAATTTTAGGTGATTTGTTATAACACCACACTAGTCCTTTTTGTAGGAAGTTTTTGCTGTTTGGAAAATGGATTTTTGATAAATAGTTCTTCAGGCTGACTGAACACGTGGTGTTGAGGGTGAAATTTTAAAGAAAAGGTGGCTTTGTGTTTCTTCTTACAACGATGGCTGATGCACTTTAACAGAGAGGAAAGGACACCAAAACACCCCTATTTTCAGTTCAAGATGACACAATGAGAAAAGAATGGAACTTTTATTTAAAGACAGCTGTTCTGTTCTAAATAAAAGTGGCCTGAAATCACTCGACCTCTCCAGTGTTCCTGGAAAGGGCAGGGCCGGCGCTCCCTGGGGCTGTGCCCGGCCGGGGGCCACGCGAGGGTCCCTGCCCGAGGCTGTCACCGGTCCCTGCCCTGAGGTGGTTCCTAAACCTGGGGGGTTTTGGGGTTTTTTGGGGTTTTTGAGCGATCCCCGCGGCTCCGCCCGCCCCGGTCCCTCATGGCCCACACGGCAGGAAATGGAAGCCTCGGCGCCCCCCGCCTGTGGAGCAGTGGCACAGCCCACCCCCGCCGCGGGGTGGTACGGCCCAAGGCTTTATAAGCGGCCGCCGAGAGGACTCGCGCCTTTTCGTTTTGTGCCCTTGGAAGCGGTAAGGTGAGAACGGGCCGGGCTGGGATCAGGGCCGGGTTCGGGGCCTGCAGGGCGAGCAGCAAGGAGGCGCAGGCCCGGCTTGCCGAGCGAAGTGGCCGTACCGCTGAGTGAGCTGAAGCGCTCGCTCCCCCAGCTCGGCAGTGGTAGCGGCCGCCGGGCCTGCTTGGGCCGCGCGGGCCGGGCCGCACCATTGCAGGGGCGGGGGGGGCGCGGCCTCGCGGCGCGTGGCGGCTCACGGCTCTTGTCCCTCAGGGCGCCATGGAGGCGGCACCGGCACCGCGACCCCGCCGGCAGCGCCGGGACCCCGCCGGCACCGCGGGAACCCCTCCCCGGTAAGTCGGGAGGAGCTCGGCCGGGCCGGGGGTTTGTGTGTGGGGCATCGCTGCTGGCACGGCCCTGCCCTGCCCGCGGCTCCGTGAGGGCCGTGCAGGTATCTGCTCCGGGGAGTGCTCGGCATCCAGCGCTGTCCGTGGATTTTTGTGGCGCTGCGGCCATGGAAATCAGCAATTAAAGCACTTTTTAAAAATTTTTCCATGTGCTAGACCCTTTCTGTGCAGTTTAAAGCATCCATAGCACTGGAGTGTTTGCCATTTCGGTTTGGAAAGTGCCCTGTTGGTAAATGCAACCTTGTGAGCTGCATTCTTATATTACTTTAAGTTTACATAGTTTGAATTTCCTGATTGCAAGAAAAATTTAAACTTTTTTTTCCTAAGCTTAAAAAAATTCTAAATTTATGAATTTCCTAAATTTCCAGTTATTTAGAGAGGATTGCTGAGTACTAATAGCTGTCTGATATAAATATTTCAGTGATTCATATCAACGCAAACACGGGTGGGAGCACAAAGAAGTTGGTCATGAGGTTTTGTTCTTGTTTTTCCCTGAATAAACCTGCTTTATACTGTTAAATCTAGTAACACTTCTCTTGCTTTTACTCCCACAGCAGAAAGATGTCTTGAACTAAAGAGTAAGTGAAATTTTTTCTTTTTACATTAAGGTGTGCAGTTGTTAAAGGGGGTTCCAGGCCTTTACAAGTCAAAGATAATCTGTAAAAATAACACTTTAAGTTAAATAAAAACTAAATAAAACTGGTTTTATGTACTCACATAAGAGTTAAGAGTTCATGCTTCATATGCAGAGGGGAGATTGTATGAGGTGAAAGCTAGTGTTTTGAGTGATGAATTAGAGGAGTTAATTAACAGCTGTTGATGATGATAACCCTGAATAGGAAGTGCCGTCAGATGCGAGAACTGACGATACCCTGGTTCTGGTCTGAAATGCAGCTACACACAGCAGCTCAAACCTCCAAATTCATCCTCTGGAGGCCAGCAGGCAGCTTGCTGTCCTTGAACTCATCTCACCTTCCTGTCCCTGTGTCCCACTTCTCTGCAGAGCTGGCCTTTCCACCTGGTGTGACACCACAGGGCTGGGAGCAGCTGGGGAGCTGGCCCTGATGTGAAGGTCAGTGATGGGTTTGAGTGCACTGCACAGTGCTCTGTGCCGCGTGAAATGTAAATTCAGCACGAGGTTTATAGTGTAGAAGGAGCTTGAGTCTGTGTTCCTTAGAGTTTTAAGCCTGATCTTTGTTTTCTGATGTGTTTAGGTCGAGCCTGCAGGTCTGTGCTGCCATGTGCTGGTGGTTGATGTCCCCCCACTGATGGGACAGCTCAAGTCCTGTGGAGGGCACTGAGACAGCAGGAGAATCTGCTGGGTGAGCTGAATATTTATTGTGTTCCTAGCTGAATGTGGTGGCTTATGGCTGCAGTCTCAAAGAGAGACTTAATTATACATTTAGAGCAGAGTTTCTGCTCTAAACCCCTAGGCAAAAAAAAAAAAAACAAACCAACAAACTTGGACTGAAATACAGGCAGTAAGTGTGTGAGAACAGCTGTTTCTGCACTGTAGACAGAGATAAAGTGTGTGCCTGCCACAAGTGTCAATTTCTGTGATATCATGTGATGAAACTAACCCAAACTTGCTGGAATTACCGGCAGATTGATGGTGGTGAGCAAAAGGTCTTCTGATGATATCTGACTCATTAACAAATCCACTAATGATGATTGAGGCTGGTTACCTGACCCTGCTCCTGTGTTCCAGGTGGTGCTGCTGCAAACGTCTCTGAGGCAGAAGGACTCCAACAAAACACCTTGAGGATTTTGTGTAGACACATTTTCTGCCTGTTCCAAAGTGGTAACAGTTAAAGTGGTTTATTACATGAACATTAAAATAATTTTTAAAATCCCCACTGTGTTTGGTCGCTTCATGCATTAAGGAACCTGGGCACTCCCGTGATTTGCTGTGAGATGAAGAAGATGTACCCAGACTGCAGAGTGCTCACTGCAGATCATGCCAGTGGGGTTAATGTGGTAATTAGAGTTTAAACAAGACACCAAGAGTTAATTACTGCAGAGATCAGCCCTTCAGCACTAACAGAGCAGCAAATGCAGCTGTATCTGTAGCTTGTTTGCAGGCTTGCTATTTGTCATTTTGATCTCAAAATTGAATTTAAAGTCTGCTGCAGAGGCAAAAGTTCAAGGGTTAGGGGGAATCTTGGCAACTTGAAGATGCTTAAAAGAGTGGAAACCCAGTGTTTGAGGCCAAAACTCCCAATTAGCTTAATTATGTCAGTAGAACTGTCAGGTTATAACACTTGAGTGCTGCAAACATCCAAACTGATGGTGCTGAGCCTTCTGCCCACCTGGTGTCAGCAGTGAAGATTTTAGGGTGTGCTTTTTGCAAGGGCTTTTTGCTTTCTGTAAAATTTAATTAATAATTAAACTAATTCCTCACGAGCCTGTGGTCACTGCCAAGGGGGGATCACAGTGTTTCACTGCACAGCTCCAAGTGGGAGAGCTTTGGATTGGCTTTGCCTTCCCTGTGGAGTGCAGGTGAAGATCTGAATTGCTTTTAATTTTCATTTTCTGACTGAAAGGTGCTGAGAGCTGGTGCTGCTCATGTGGCATCCCAGGGCAGTGTCCCTGTCCTTCCAAAAGCACAGGTGACTGCTACCTGAGGTACAAATTGCATAAAATGTTGAATTTCAGGAATTTCTCTTAAATTTAGTGTTTAGAAAAACAGGCTCAGTGTTTTTCAGAGAAAGCTCCTGGTTCTACAACATGCAGGTAAATTAATATTTTTTTTTCCTATAATTGTTACTGTAGTACATCCAGGCCTTAATAAAAACATTGAGCCTGGGCAATGGAGTAGGTAAAACATGTTTGGAATTAGTTGCTCTTTATCTGAAAGGATTTGAACACTATGAAGAACAGGTTACTCCACTGCTTAATTAAAATATAAAGTTAAATTGTTCCCAGTGTTTAATGAAGCAAAGCTTACTTTTGCCTCATTTTAAGAGCTTGTGTATTACAACATGTTGACATTTCTTATAACATGCACTGGGAATAGAAATGGGTTTAAAGCTCTTAAAAAGCACAAGAATCCACCTTTTTTTAAATGTGAATCTGCAGACCATGGAGGTAAAAGCAGCCACATGCCCTCAGCAAACAGAAATAATCAGCAAATTGTTTAATGAGCTGTTTAATGTGCTCAAGGAAGGTTTGCTGCAACTTGTTTTAGAATTCTTGCTTTCTAGTGTTGGGATTCTCTCATTAAAACAGAGCAAAGTTTATCTGGGAAAACTTAAATACTGAATTTACCTGGGTTTTTTGAGGGTGCAGTTGGTGGTATCTGTTGGAGATAAATATTCATGAGTTTCATTTTAGCATCACTTGTTTATTGTTCTAATCAAAACCAAAGTTCCTCAGCAGGGATCCTCCAGCAGACTGGGTTTTTTTCTGAGATTAATGAATGGAAAAGTGTTATTTCTGTTAGAAAATGGTGCCTTTCAAACATAACAAATGCCCTCAACATTTTACTGTGATCTTCCAGGGGAGCACAGATAATTTCATGGTGCTTGAGGGGAAGAGAAATAAAACCATTCTGTTTTGATTACATTTGGAGCACTTAAAACTTAGTGTTGGGGAATAAACAGCAGACAAAAATCTGGTTTTAAAACACAATTATTTTGGGTTTTCTAAAGGTTTAGAAAGAACAGTTGGCAGGAATCCCTTTGGCGCTCAACAGCAGCCAACAACCCTGGATAAATCTAAAATAGATGAAAAGATTAAAGCAGAAAGAATGAAAATATGCAGCAAAGCAAAGAATGGCTTAGTGCCAGCCTTTAGCAATAAGAGAGATGGCAGTGCCACGTCTCAAATCAGTGTTTGAGAGAAAACATGGAGATTATCCCCAAAATCTGCTGTGGAGCTGCTGGAGAGGGGCTGGAATTGAGGAGGGGGAGGAGAGGGATCCACAGGGGCAGAGCTGCCTCACTGTAAATCACAAGCTTCACATTTCACATAAATGCTGGTTATCATCCTCCTTTCTTGATTAGTATTGTAAAGCACTCATATCTGCAGCAGCATGAGCATAATCACTCATGCAAAGCCATAAATTACTGTAATTAATACATGCCAGCTATTAATGGCAATGTAAAGAGGAGCTCTCTTGGCTTGGTGGCTGCTGTTCCAGCTGAGGCAGTTTGGGCTGTAGCTACTTAATTAGAAGTGAGGAAGGGATATCCTGTGTGTCTGAGCTTTTCAGAGTGCAAGAAATCCTAAATATTGACACTTCACTCCTTTTCCCCTCCGAGCAGGAGGAAGAGCTGTTAATTTTCCAATTCTCCTTCATTTCAGAGAAGTGAGGCACAAAGGAGCTGCTGTTTTCCAGCACTGGTGAGCTGCAAGAAAAGTGTCACAGGTTTGTTTTCTCCCAGCTAAAGGAAGGCAAATGCTTTGTTACAATTTCTGAGATATCCCAGGCAGCAACTCTTGAGCTGCTCAGAGCAAAAACTCAAAATAACCAGGGGACTTTGGCCTTTCTCAGGCTCAGGGTGTTCCTGGCACCCCTCTGACCTTGTGCTGCCAGAGCTGGAGCACATTTCACATGTTCCTGTGAAGAAGGACAAGGTTAATGCATCATTTAATGCTCTGCCAGGACAAACATTCCCCTTCTTTGTCACTTCATGTCATTTAGTGCCTTAATTTTACACTTGAAATCAGTTTCAGCCCAACTGTTATGAACTGATCCTAGAACTGCTGAACGTGGTGGGGGTTGAGCAGGTGGGATTTGACTTAGGCCATGCAAGGAGAGCTTATTTAAAGAACACTGAGCATTTTCTGCTGCTGTGCTCTAATTCACACTAACATCTGTCCTGCTTTACCTCCTGACACTTGAGCCCACAAGGTGGGGCAGTGACCAAGCTCAGAGCGTTTGAAATAAAAGAGATTTTTGCAGCCTTGGAGATGCTTCTTTGGGGCAACTCAGTTTTAATGCTGGTTCCTTCCCTGTTTCTAATAAGATTTGCAACTTTCATTACTATGTAGAGAATCCCACACACAGTGATAATGTCACTCTTTAATTAGCTGTTAATTAATGTGTCTCAGTGTTGGACCAGCAAAGGCTCATTTGATGCGCTTTTGATGCTGTGCAAACTTGCAGTTCATGGTCCCACCCCGAAGTGTTCCTGCTCTGAGTGTGATGAGGAGCCAAAGAGTTAAAACTTATTTTTATTTGATAAAGGATGATTTGCTCTCCATTGCCCTTCCCTCCCATGCAGCTCAGGAGCTGCCAGGCTGTGCCTGCTCCAGGTGGATTTGGGTCAATAAACACCCCCAGCCCAGCACCTGTGTGGAACTGAAACCTGAACAAAATGCAAATGAGAAAATCACTCAGTGGAGGCTGATTTCAAATCCCTGCTGTTTTAATCAAATAGAGATGTTAAAAGTTTAATCTCCAATAATTAAGACTTTTGTTTGTTAGACTCCTGTTAGTTTTTGCAAGTCAATACCTGGATTTTTTTCCATAGCAGTTTTTTTTTTTGTTGTAATGGTTTGAGGTAAAATCATTGCACAGCCCAGCTGCAACACGAACTCTAAACAAATAATGATTGATGTTTCTGAAGCTGCCTATGGCTTTCTGCTGGGCTCTCCTTGGTTTTCTTTATAATTTTGATTTATTTCCCAGATTTTTTGATTGCTTTCTTGCTCATGCTTTCTCAGATCCTGTTGGATAGTTTCTCTAGGTTTGACTTTCTTGGTTTTTTGTGTATTTTGTGCACTTGCAAACTGCACCTAAAGGTTTGTTAGTGTTGGCTTTGGGTTTGTTGGGTGCTGTTGTCACGGAACAGTGGAGTAGGCTTGAGGTTTAACAGCACATTAAAGACAAACTTCCAGCTAAGCCTGAGGTTATCAGCCATAATAAAACATAATAAATTTTCCTGGATAGCTGAAACTTTATTAATAAACACCTGAGTCAAGATAATAGTGGCACCAATGGTAATTTGGTTATCAGCCCTGATCAGACAGCGAGAGCAGTGCTGGTGCTGAGGTGATCTGTGAGCTGTTTAATGCCCCTCACAGCAGCAGCAGCAGCTGAAATGTCCAATAGAAATGTTTTACATCTGTGCCTCCATCTGATAATCCTGCAGCAGTCTGCAGTGCTCCACAGCCCCTTGGTGCAGACAGGAGCTGGGGCTGGGAGCCCTGCTGGGAGCAGGCACAGGGTCTGCTCAGCCACTGGATAAAGCAATTTTCCTGAACTGTGTCAAATCAGGTATGCTATTCCTTTCATCCATGGCAGTAAATAATAAACCCTTTGTGCTGAGTGAAATCCAGGGGATCCTGCTGGGAAGATGATGGAATTGTTTCAAAGGTGGGAGCTGTGAAATGCACAGTGATGGGAAGCCCCTGCACCAAGGTAGCTGCACTTTGAATGTAATTAATTTAATCTACCCAGGCACCTCCCCACCAGCCTGTTTGCTGCTGTGTTTGGAGGAAAATGCTCTGTGCTTGCAGGAGGTGAAATAAAGCTTCAGTGTCAGGGCCAGGCTGTTTGGAAATGCAAAACAGGAGCTGCATCAAGGGCAGGGATTTCAAAGGTGCTGCTTTTATGCTTCAGAAAGGTCTTTGGAGATGACAGCAACAACGTGGTGTCACCTGGCAACAGGTGAGAGGCTGAAGCTGAGGCAAAAGAAGGGTTTCAGGGAGGAGAGCAGGGCTGAAAAATCATCAACACCAAAATGGTTTGAAGAATGGATGTGACACCAGGGTGAGGGGACAGCTCTGGGCTGGTGGCTGCCCATGCCCTGGAAATTCAGCCCATTTTGGGGGCTGGCACAGAAAAAAGGACAATATTTGCATTTCAGCCCCCAGCTCTGCTGTTTCTGTGCCTGTGGTGGAGGGGAGCTCTGAGCCTGCAGGAAAGCACAACTTGGGAAAATCCTGAGCCTTGGAATTGATCATTTAACAAGCAGGTGGGTACAGTGAAGATGAAACAACAACAAAAAAGGAATGGTGAAGTTCTTCTCTTGGAAAGTGATGTGTAAATGCACACAGCCCCAAGCAGAGGCCTTTTATTCTGTGTGTTTGAAGCCTGTCCACCTCTGGGATTTTCTGCCTGTTCCTCTACATGCAGAACTCCCCAGCAGTGGAATCCTGTGGGCTCAGGAGCCAGAGCCCTGGGGCAGCAGCTACCAGAGTGTGATTGATTCTTTAGTGCCTTGGTTTTCATTTCTGGAAGAGCTGGAATTGCAGCTCTTACCTGAGTGAGTTGCCAGACAAGGAGCAGCTGCCCAAGGGAAGCTCATTCCTGGGTGATGCAGCTGGGTTTCCACATCTGTTGCAGCCCAATATCCCACAGTGTTCCATCCATCCCTGACTCTCTGGATGTCTATTCCAGGAATTTGGGCCTGTAGTAAGATGCTTTGAGGTTTTAATTATGTAGGTTATTGTTTAGGATGGTTGTGAGTGCTGCTTGCAAAATCCTGACCACAAAGCACCTCCCCAAAGCCTTGCCCAGAGCCAGAGGAACCCTGCTTTCCCTGGAGAAGGACAGAGCTGACAGGGAGAGCCAGGAATAAAGTGGTTTTACATCACACACCTTGAAAATCCAGTGATAATGCCCAGGCCAAACCTCCAGTGAATTAAATATTAATATTTCTCTCCTCTTTTGTAAACCTCCAGTCTATTTGTCCTTCCAATAACAGCTCCCTGAGAGCTGCCACGTGCACTCACTGAAGGCTGGGATTGCTCATCCCAACCTGCTGGATGCAAACCAGCCCACAGGTTTATTTTCTCCTCAGACTGAGTTAATAAAACAGCAAAGAAAAAAGATGGCCCAGAAGCCACAGGATCAATAAGCTATTAGGAGCCAAGAAAACTCAGCAAACTGCTCACATAATTAAAGGCTGTGGTGAACAGGTTGCATCTTTTCTGACTCTATTAAATCAGGTCTTCAGTTTTATGTAAAACCATCAGCTGAGCTGGAGGTAAAACCAGCTGTGTCTCTGTGTATTTACAGAGGGGGGATAAAAAGGGATAAAAAATAGGGGGATAAATAAATGCACGCCCAGAACTGCCAGAAGGGAATGCAAACAAAGCACCTCCAGTTCCCCATCCTTCAGGGGTAACTGGGCCATGGGCTGATGGAGCTGGCACTTCAGAAATGACACTTTATTCCCAAATACCTTTCCTGCAGTGCCAGCTTGGGATCCAGGATTCCTGCAGTGAGCAAAGCTCTTGTGCTCCTCCTTGAGAACAAACCCTGTGCTAACATTTTATAGAATCAGATCCCAGGATGGTTTGGGTTGGAGGGGAATTAAAGCCCATTTCATTCCAACATTCTGCTGTGGACAGGAACACCTCCCACTAATCCAGGTTGTTCCAAGTCCTGTCCAGCCTGGAGATATCCATCCATTTATTCATGACAATTAATTAATATTAATATTAATGTGCCTGGAGCTGGGCCCTCCCTAGGAATTGAGGCTGGAGCCTGGCTGGAGGCAGTCAGAGCTCTGTGAGGGATGGCTCTGTCCTTCAGAATTTCCTGTTACAGACATTTCATAGAGCTGGAAAGCTCCTCTCCTCTCACAGCCTGCTGGTGGAAATCATCCCCAGGCACAGAAAAATCCCACTGCCCTTGGAGTGGAGGAAGAGTGGGATCAAGGATGACATCCTTGTACCAGAGAGGTCTGGAGGAGACTTCATCTGTTGCTCACCAAGGAACATTTCACTGCAGAGTTTAGGTCAGTTGTCTTTACCCCTTTTCCCCTAAGCTTTGATATGTGAATTCTGCTAATAAGGTCAATTAGTTTCCTTGGCAATGGCAGATCCCAGCCAATGGAGCAGGGGAGCCTTTGTGCTTCCAGGACATGAGTGGTCCTGAGCATGAGCTCACAACCTCCTGCTGCTGCTGGAACAGGGGTGATGGACACAGGGGAGCCCTGCAGGGGTTTTGCCCCTCTCCAAAGGCAGTTCTAGTGGGATAACCCAGCTGGTAGCACTGCCTGGGGCAGCCTCAGCCACTGCTGCCTCCCGTGGTGTCCCCTTGATCCTTTAGGTCACTTTTTGGCTCTTCCTCTGGCAAAGGTTGGTGTTCGGGCAATTTTGGGTTGACATCTGCTGACTTCTGCCCCTGAGCAGCAGCAATGCTTTTGGACTAAGTATTTTGTGCTTCTGGACATCCCCAGCAGCATTTTTGTGTCTCCCTCTGCTCTCCCACACACTCCCTGCTCAGGGGTGACTTTTCCCAGCCTCTTTCCTGCTCCCAACCATCCTCTGGCAAAGGAACTCTCATTTTAAATAAATAGCCACCTTCAAAACACAGCCAGCCCTGGTGCAAACCCTCCCCAGCTCACCCAGCTGGCAGGAGCTCTCCAGAGCGTGGCACCAGCCCTTTCATGGCCCTCTCACCCCTCTCTCACCCCATTCCCTGCCTGCTGTTTCCATTCCCCTCGCTGTGGGCTCCTCAATCTGCACAGAATGATTTCCAATTACATTTTTGTTGCTGAGTCCATAAATCTCCTCCCCAGACTGCTTTGCTTGATGCCCAGGCAGAGCTGTGGTGCTGCTGGGTACAGAACCAACCAAGCCAGGCTGAGGCTTTTTATGCTTTATTTATTTTATGGTGGCCCTTTCCTCCTCTCCTGGACAAGAAATTACCTCATTCTGTTTTAATATTCTAACAGCAGCGATTTCCAGTGCTTGAATCCTTCATGTAAGGCCAGTTAAAAGCTTCTGACCCAAAGCAGCAGCCCAGAGTAGCCCAGGGAACATTGATTATATGTGGAGTGAGCCCTGAGCTTGTTTTGATGTTGATGAGCTGGGAAGGGAAGCTCTCACTCTGCTTTCTTTAAAAAAAAAAAAAAAAACAAAAAAAAACCCAAGCAAACCCCTCTCTGTGCTGAGCCCACAGGATCATCATTATCCTGAAGTGCACTAAGTGGATAATTAAAACCCCCCCTTCCTTTTTTTAAAAAAAAAAAAAAAAAAAAAAAAAAAAAAAAGACCAAAAAAAACCCAAGCAAACCCCACTCTGTGCTGAGCCCACAGGATCATCATTATCCTGAAGTGCACTAAGTGGATAATTGAGCTAATCCACACTGTGAGGGAGGCACTGATGAGCCAAAGCTTTTATAACCAACTCTCTACAACAGCTCTGCTTTTTTCCCCCTTTTTCCAAGGAAGTAATTTGGTGCATCCTCCAGCATGCACGGATATATTGACAAAAATCCCTTTCCAGCTCTTTCTCTGTCTCAGAAGGGCTAAATCCTCACTGGGCACTGGGATATTGTCAGTGCCAGTGGAGCAGAGGTGGCTCAAGCACTGCAACACCTGCACAGGGCAAAGGCTGTGGGATCTCCCTTTGGAGATACTGAAATTATTTCTCCATGGCTGATGTGTTTCCCAGCAGGTGGAAGCTGAGCTGGAAGGGAAATGTGGCAGGAGCAGCTCCTGGGTGGATTTTGTCTGTGAGGGAATGGAGCAAAGCAGGAATAAAGGATGCAGAGCTTGCTCTAAATGCAAAGCTCCTGGGTGGATTTTGTCTGTGAGGGAATGGAGCAAAGCAGGAATAAAGAGAGCTTGCTCTAAATGCAGAGTGCCTCTGGTTTGTGAATTTGTGAACTGGGGGGTCCAGGCAGCTCCTCAGGCCCCAGGTCCTGTGCAAATACTTAGCAGGGAATAAAAACCTTGCAGCCAGGAGCTTGTGATTGAAATAATTTAAACAGGCAGAGGGGCTTGAGCTGTGCATGAGGAGCAGAGCCCAGCACTGAGGTTCCTGGGTAGAAAGAAGGAATTGCTGCAGTTTTTCTTTTTTTCTGCAAAGAGAAATGTTGTTCTGAATTAAATCCCCCTATGTTCCCCCAACTCCTTGGCCCCCACGGTTTGTTGCTGGGACAGAGCCCCTGCTGCCATAAACAGCCTTTTATCCTTCAGGAGATAATAAACACCCTGTGGAGCACTACCCCACTCTCAGCCTTCCTTTCTCCCACATTATTTTATTTTGGTACTATTTAAAATTTAAAAGATTCTTTTATGATGCTTCTGTGTCCACCTTATGCCCACCCTGATAAATCCAGCCCATAAACTGAGCTCTTTATTTCTCAGCCTCCTGAAGAAGCCAGAGCAGCAGCTCTCAGCACTGCCTTGTCCTCTGCTTTTTCCTGGGCATTCAACCTGGACAGAGGGAAAATTCAACACTGGGTCTTTATTAAACATTATCATTTATTTTGTTTATGGATAGCTCCTTTATTTCAAACAGAAATATTCCATATTCACTGGAAAGTTGTTGGTTTTTTTTTTTCATGCCTGTTGGAAAGAGTTAGAATTAAAAAAAAAAAAAAAAAAAACCAATAAGGAAAAAAGGCTTGGATACATGCAAATCATACTGACTGTTGCCAAATGTATTAAAAGTAGCAGAGTTTTTTCTAAGTTACCTTCTTGCAAATGGAGGACAAGCAACCACTGGCAGCCTGAAGCCCCTCTGGAAAAATGGACAGAGCCAATGGGACCAAAAGTCTGCACCCAAAAAAAGCCAAGCTGGAGTCACTGCTGGGAGCTGCTCAGAGAAGGGCTTGGGGCAAAGAGGCTCCCTCTGCAAAGGGAGTCAGCTCTGCTCCGTGGAACACGAAGGAGAGGAAGCTTTCCCCACTTTCCTGCCCTCCCCCAGATTTGGGATCTGATGAAATTCTGGTTCCAAAAAGCCAAAGTGCACATTGCAGCACTGCTGCTCTGGGCTGATCCATTTCCCACTGAAAATAAACCCAAAGCCCTGGCTTAGAAAAAACTGGAAACTTTCAGGAACAAAGCACTTCTGGTCCAGAGGGCAACAGCCATGGCCAAGGGAGCCCAAGGTTTTCTGGGGCTTTAAATCCCAGCAGGCTGTGTGGCAGTGACAGAGGGGATGAACCCCACGCTTGTTTGACCTTTTTAACCCTTCAGTACCGTGGTCTCTTTTGTCAGTGATGCTCCTGAGCCCTGACTCCAGGATTTGTGTGTCCCTCCCAGAATGGATCAGATGCTCCCATCAAAAGCTCAGTTCTTACAGCTGGTGGCAAACTGGGTTTTACTGGACAAATCCTGGGCAGGCACAGGTGCCAGCCTGGTTTTGGTAAGGCTGGAGGTGAGGGTGGTGTCCAGGCACGCTGCAGGCTGGGATTTATCCCTGCCCCAGGAAAACAAAGCTCTCCCTCTGGGCTGGGCTCACAGTACTGAGAGGAACACCCCTGCTTGGTGTGTGAGCAGATTTTTGAGCTCTGGTTATTGTGTGAGGTTTTTGTTGTGTCTCAGCAGCCATGCCTCTCACCAGTGATTCCTGAAGTCAGGAGTGGGAAGGATTGAAGGTTTATCCCAGGCAGGTCCCTTTGGGGTGGCTGCTGTCTGTCCATCCCACGTGGGGAGCAGCTGAGACCCAGCACTGAGGAAAGGGAGCCCTTCCCTGCACAGCCTGCTCCCTTTTCTTGCCCTTCTGAGGTTTTGCAGCCCCTTGGAGATGCATTTCTGAGAGAGCCAAAAGCACAGCACACCACTAATGCTTCAAAACACCTGGCCAGCTGTTAGAAAATACAAACACTCTACGTGATCACTTTTATGTGTTCTTCAAGAAGAAAATCACTGACGTTCGTGGCACAGGGGGAAGGCAGCAGCTGGGACTCCTGGAGCACCCAGGAGTGGGAACAGACCCCCCCAGCTCTGAGGTTTTAAGTCATCCTTGCTCAAGGTGCCCCCCAAGGGCTGACATCATGTCTGTGGTGTGGCAGCACCTTGCTCTGGGCCAGGCAGCTCCCCAGCCTCGGCTGTTCTGTCCATCTGCTCCCAGTCCGTGCTGCCAGCCCGGCCTGGCCCAGCCCTCAGCTCCTCCTGGCTGTCCCCCAGCCCCTCCTGCCCCTCCAAATCACTGAGCTGCCCCTCCCCAAACTCCAGGATGGTCGGCAAATTCCCCTGCTTGGGGCAGCGCCTCTTCAGGCTGACCAGGAAGGGTTGGGGCAGCGAGAAAATATCCACGTTGTTACCCAGATCGATCCAGGTGACGCTGGGGAACTTCTTGGGGTCCTTGAGGGTCTCGGTGAGGTCCCTGAGGATGGCCTTGGTGAGGCGGTTGCCGTTGAGGGCCAGCGTGGTGAGGCGGGGCAGGCCGCAGAGCGCGGGCAGCAGCTGCAGCAGCATCTCGTCCGTCAGCTCGGTGAAGCACAGCTCCACCGTGTCGATGTGCTCCGAGCTGTGCTCCAGGTAGGACGTGACCCTCTCCAGGTCCTTCAGGGTCAGGGGGATGCCTGACAAGTCCACGGTGTTGTCTTGGGGCTTCCCCATCAGCACGGCCTTCAAGCTGTGGGGGGAGGTGAGGATGGGGTTAATGGGGGGTGGCTCTGTTTGGGGGCAAGTTGCTGAGAGGGCAAGTGTTGGAAGGCTGGATGTAGGGGAAGATGAAACAGGAAAGCCTTATAAATATGATTGCCTGGCAAAAGATTTTGCCAGGAATATTGAATATTGAAACCGGAAACCATAAGTGAAATTGAAATGAAAGCAAACTTTGAGATACCTTAGTTACTGAACAACTGGAAAACAATGGCATGGCTGGCTGAAGGTAATCCCCTTTTGATGGAACAATCCCCTCTGCTTGCAGACAGGCCCAAGAGTCAGAGCAGACCCTACAAGCTTGGCAGAAGGGGTCCAAAGAGCAGTTTTTAGGGTTTAAAATAAAACACAGTATGGTAATGTAATGATTCTTATAGGCTGTATGTAAATGCTACAGGATTTGTATCTTGTATTAGATTGGTTAGTGAGAATTAGAATATTCAGCACAGAAGATCTGTTGTACTGTAATGGGAACTTTGGTCTCTTTTACTCTTTCATGGTCTCTCTCATCCTCTTTACCACATCTTGTCTTCTTCCTCTACCACTCTCTTCCCCTCTCTCCCTCTTTGGGGCCTGCTCTGAGCTGTGGCTGGCAGCTCCCAGCAGGGCCCCTGCACCCAGCCCTTGGCAATAAACCCCAAGTTCCCAGCTCAGAGCTGTCCCCTCACCCTGGGTCACATCCATTCTTCAAACCATTTTGGTGTTGGTGATTTTTCAGCCCTCTGACCATCCTACCCCCGTCACTCCTACACTGGATGCTGAGAGTTTTCAATTTTCTGTGCTGAAAGGCACAGAGAACACTGCGAGTGACCTGAGGCTGTGGAGAAGGCTTCCAAAATTGATAGCACTGGGATTACGGGTGTGGAGTTGGTTAGAAGTGTGTAGCATCACAGGGTGGAAAACTTAAGAGTTTGAGGTTTTAGAATATAGAAATAAATATGAAGCAAGATGGAGGTTTTAGGGTGGAGGAAGGTTGTTCTTCTTTACCTTCTTCTTCCTTCTTCTTCATGAGTTTTGTAATTGGACACAACAGTCCACACTGCAGGCTTCCAGGGATCAGTTATTGGGTTAAAAGGGAAAATAATCTAGGTGTCAGTTCTTAACTGGATAGTTTAGTCTTAAAAGACCTTGTAACAAAAGATTGTTAGCCATTCTGTCTGTGCCTTCTAATGAAAGGCTGCAGAACTCATGGCTGTGAGGCTGCTTCACTGATAGGAAATAATAAACACCTGAGTCCCAACATGAAATACCACCTCAAATGCCCTCAACCCAGACCTTGACAGAGCTAGAAAATAAATACAGAGAACCCACAGGCAAGGACAGGAGTTGTGGGAAGTGGATTTGTAGAAAGTTATATAATGTATTATAATTTATAATTTTATAATTAGGAAATAGTTGGCTTCTAGTGTGATAGCATGACTTATAACATCTGTATTGTCTCATCCTTCTCATGAAACTAAAAATGGAATAAAAGTTTTCAAAATGCCTCTCAGTTGCCCCATCTCTGGGGCAGGAAAAGGTATTTTGGGGCAGCGAGAAAATATCCACGTTGTTACCCAGATCGATCCAGGTGACGCTGGGGAACTTCTTGGGGTCCTTGAGGGTCTCGGTGAGGTCCCTGAGGATGGCCTTGGTGAGGCGGTTGCCGTTGAGGGCCAGCGTGGTGAGGCGGGGCAGGCCGCAGAGCGCGGGCAGCAGCTGCAGCAGCATCTCGTCCGTCAGCTCGGTGAAGCACAGCTCCACCGTGTCGATGTGCTCCGAGCTGTGCTCCAGGTAGGACGTGACCCTCTCCAGGTCCTTCAGGGTCAGGGGGATGCCTGACAAGTCCACGGTGTTGTCTTGGGGCTTCCCCATCAGCACGGCCTTCAAGCTGTGGGGGGAGGTGAGGATGGGGTTAATGGGGGGTGGCTCTGTTTGGGGGCAAGTTGCTGAGAGGGCAAGTGTTGGAAGGCTGGATGTTGGGGCAGATGAAACAGGAAAGCCTCATAAATATGATTGCCTGGCAAAAGATTTTGCCAGGAATATTGAATATTGAAACCATAAGTGAGATTGAAATGAAAGCAAGCTTTGAGATACCTTAGTTACTGAACAACTGGAAAACAATGGCATGGCTGGCTGAAGGTAATCCCCTTTTGATGGAACAATCCCCTCTGCTTGCAGACAGGCCCAAGGGTCAGAGCAGACCCTACTAGCTTGGCAGAAGGGGCCCAAAGAGTAGTTTTTAGGGTTTAAAATAAAACACAGTATGGTAATGTAATGATTCTTATAGGCTGTATGTAAATGCTACAGGATTTGTATCTTGTATTAGATTGGTTAGTGAGAATTAGAATATTCAACACAGAAGATTTGTTATATTGTAATGGGAACTTTGGTCTCTTTTACTCTTTCATGGTCTCTCTCATCCTCTTTACCACATCTTGTCTTCTTCCTCTACCACTCTCTTCCCCTCTCTCCCTCTTTGGGGCCTGCTCTGAGCTGTGGCTGGCAGCTCCCAGCAGGGCCCCTGCACCCAGCCCTTGGCAATAAACCCCAAGTTCCCAGCTCAGAGCTGTCCCCTCACCCTGGGTCACATCCATTCTTCAAACCATTTTGGTGTTGGTGATTTTTCAGCCCTCTGACCATCCTACCCCCGTCACTCCTACATTGGATGCTGAGAGTTTTCAATTTTCTGTGCTGAAAGGCACAGAGAACACTGCGAGTGACCTGAGGCTGTGGAGAAGGCTTCCAAAATTGATAGCACTGGGATTACGGGTGTGGAGTTGGTTAGAAGTGTGTAGCATCACAGGGTGGAAAACTTAAGAGTTTGGGGTTTTAGAATATAGAAATAAATATGAAGCAAGATGGAGGTTTTAGGGTGGAGGCAGGTT